ATTTGAGTCTGGTTCCTCTCGAGGTCTCTTCCTCCTGTTGAGGGAGTTTTTCCTTGCCACTGTCGCCAAGGCTTGTTCACTGGGGGACCCGGATTCTCTGTAAAGCTGCTTTGTGACAACATCTGTTGTAAAAGGCGCTATAGAAACAAATTTGACTTGACTTGACAATCTGCTGTGCTTTGTGAATGATTCACCTACAAGACGCGACAGAAGCCGAGAGACACACAGACCTTTAATTCAGTGTTTTCACTCCAGGCTTGGAGCCGCTGCACTGTATAGTTTAGTGTTTCTCTGCTGTTCACACCTCGATCACCTCAAGAAGGGATTAATTAGCTAATAATATCAGGTATCTTAACCAGGAAACCACAGTTATGCAGTGCAGGGGTTTCAGGACTGGAGCTGAACTCTGAACTAACTGCACCAGCAAACTTACAGAATCACATCTGTCGAAACGCGACGTCGTTTTCCGATCCACGACGTTCAGTCTGATATTTAACGCTTATGTTTCTCCATTCAAACCTCATTTAAATCAGAAACAGAGAGTAAAGTTATACCGGCTGTCTGCAGCTCCGTTAGGGGGAACACTGTTCATCTCTCGGCTGATAACATCAGCTAAAGTTCTCTAAAGGCCAGCATTGATCACATCTGTGTTAATTAGCTGACGTCATTTCCCTCCTATGATGACAGAGTCCTCTTTATGCAGCACCATGGGGTCCTTTACCCACCCTGACGTGAAGAGCCGGTGGGCTTCTGTGCTTTTAAATGCTTTGAGAGACTCTCCAGAACAGGGAGAGGGGCTGAGTATGAGATCAATATTTATGTCAGGAAAACACAAATTTGGTAGGTTTCCACCAGTTTAAGTGGGATCAGGAGTTCAGGGGGAAACTGTGTAAGGATCGCAGGCTATTTTATCGACTCTGTCCAGGTAATGTTTTTTCTCTTCCAGAATAAGGTGAGTAATTTTAGCCATCTTTTACCTGTAGTTACGTTCGTGCGGAGCAGCGAAGCCAGAAAAATCACATGACTAAAAGCCAGGACAGGCTAACGTGCTTGTGCTTTCTGACTTTGTGTTCTGCTGGTAGGGAACGCTCTGAGCTTTAATTTACTTTTGTTTAGACTGAGCTAATCTTAAAGCTGTCTTTTGAACCTAGAACTTAATTTAGTTCCAAGTTATTTGTAGTTCCAGGTGAGGTTTAGCCTAAGGTCTGAAACGTAGCGGCAGGGCTAGCTGCCACCAGGCTCATTAACTGAGAAAGTATCAGTTTCAGATATCAGTGTGCTTGTTTTTTCTGACTTGGATTTGTTTTATATTACTTTTGCTTAGAAAAGGCATGTCAAACTGGGGACCTTCCGGGCCAAAGTGCTATTAGCATTTACCCTCATCTAACGCTCTGAACTCAGTTCATACAGGCCTTGCTAATTAGCTCATGAGCCGAATCAGGCGTGTTTAATGAGGCAGAGTGGACCAGAGTCTGACACTCGGCCAAGACTGAGCAGAATTAGATTTGTAGGTAAAAATAAAATCATCCTCCTTTGCTGTAAAATTAAGCTCTGCTGATCGTTTTAACACAGTTTTAACAAAGAAACACTGGAGTTTATGTATATGTGCTAATTCACCCTTTAACCCTGAAGGTTGATGCGCAGACTGCTGTTCCCCATAGCAGACAAGCAGTCTTGACTAGCTAGTATCTAACAAAATGGCGAAGAGAAAGATTTAAGACGAACAACAATAATTTGGAGATGAATAGATTTGCGTTTATAATCACTCCAGCTGGTTTCCTGATACGATTAATCTGCACCGAGAAACTGTCAAACACTAAAAAGTTGTGAAACTGAAGTCGGCTTCTTGTTCGAATTTTCCCGTTCCACCTTAAATGGTGAAGCAGTTACATTCTGGCACCTCAGGCATCTTTTAAGGCGGGAAAGGAAAATTAGACTTCAGTCTCGTAAAAAGTCAAACGTTGAGAGACATTTTACAAGAAACTATTCTACTTTTGAGGAAAGGTTTCCTGCCAGAGATGTGAGAAAAGCAGCTATAGCTGAGGTAAAACTTAAAGCAGAGCAAAGTAAGTCTGTTTATATTTTTCAGCCTATATTAGGACATCAGCACATACTGAGACATATTTACAGCCAAGATGGTAAAATGGACATAAAATGTTGTGGCTCCTACGGTGGTTGATTTTTGTTGAAAGGACAAAATGACTCTTAACATTTGGGTCTAGAGAATTTGACTACGCCTGTTGTAAGAAGCGCTACATAAATAAACTTTGACTTGAATGGCATTTCACTCTATTCCAGGTGTGCACAACTCCGGTCCTGGAGGGCCAGTGTCCAGCACAGTTTGACGATTTACCTGCCCGAACACACCAGATTATACTTCTGTTAATTGCCAGGTTAAGTGGTTGTGTTTGAGCTGGGAAACCTCCAAACTGTGCTGGGCACCAGCCCTCCAGGACCGGAGTTGTGCACCCCTGCTCTACTCTCTTTCTCGCATCTTTCAGTTTCCTCTTTTTGAGTATGATGCTGTTACTGTATCTTCTCCCCACTTCATATCATCATCTAACCCCCTCCTGGTCCTCTGGGCAACTTCATAGACGAGCTACACATTCTTCCGAGTCTCTTCCCCATCTATGGAACCCCACTCGTTCTTCCGAGTCTCTTCCCCATCTATGGAACCCCACTCGTTCTTCCGAGTCTCTTCCCCATGGATGGAACCCCACTCGTTCTTCCGAGTCTCTTCCCCATCGATGGAACCCCACTCGTTCTTCCGAGTCTCTTCCCCATCGATGGAACCCCACTCGTTCTTCCGAGTCTCTTCCCCATCGATGGAACCCCACTCGTTCTTCCGAGTCTCTTCCCCATCGATGGAACCCCACTCGTTCTTCTGGGGACTTCAACCTTCCATCAGACAAGCCTGTCCTGTTGCACTGAGAGATCGTGGACAAAATCCCAACTTGACTCTTGAATCTCTCCTTTCAAAGTAAGTGCTGCAAAGTCATCTTTCTACAGAGGGCAACTGGAAGCAGCACAGCATTTTCTCTTCTCTCCTCAACCCTCCATCTCCACCACCACCACCCACTTCTCTTACCGCAGAGGATTTTGTCTCCTTCTTCGAGGAGAAGGTTAATAGAATCCGCCAGTCCCTTTGCTCTGTCTCCACTCCCCTACATCAGTCCTCATCCTCTTTCTCTTAACTCTAACCTGCTTTTCTTCTCTTTCCACAGATGGCGTCCTATGGGTATCGACATCCAGCAATCCGACCACCTACCCGATGGACCCCAACCCATCCACACTGCTCCAGTCAATCTCCCTGGACCTGCTTCCCTTCATCACTTCCACCATAAACAGCTCCTTGTCATCAGGTCTTGTTCCACTGGCATGCAAGACTGGCAGGGTGGTACTCATCCTGAAGAAGTCTACAGTTCTAGATAATCAGCTTTTAAGCAGCTAACAAAATAAATAAAAAAATAAATAAATAAAACAAAATAAACAAAAACGTTTAGGAGAGTTTTCCTAGTCTTTAAACCACAGTAAAGAGAATTGCCACTCAATAATGTGTTCTGAGTTTATCGGATGCTAGAGGGCGCTCTCAAGCGAGTCTAAAATGAATGAATGGAATCATAGTTTGTAAATGCTTAATCATTTGTATACAGACAAACGCTAATTTTCTCAGCACAGAACAGCATAAAATAGTTCACTGTTGTTATATTTCTATATTTTTTGAACTCCAATTATAAGACTCTATAGCTGTGTCCTTATACATATTCATGATGTCAGTGAGCGCAAACTGCTTTACTCAGCCAATAAGCTGACAAGCTCTCCAACCAGTCAGCACTCAGCAGAAGTAACGCCAACCAGTCAGCACTCAGTAGAAGTAACGCCAACCAGTCAGCACTCAGCAGAAGTAACGCCAACCAGTCAGCACTCAGCAGAAGTAACGCCAACCAGTCAGCACTCAGCAGAAGTAACGCCAACCAGTCAGCACTCAGTAGAAGTAACGCCAACCAGTCAGCACTCAGCAGCAGTAAAGCCAACGCCAACCAGTCAGCACTCAGCAGAAGTAACGCCAACCAGTCAGCACTCAGTAGCAGTAACGCCAACCAGTCAGCACTCAGTAGCAGTAACGCCAACCAGTAGCAGTAACGCCAACCAGTCAGCACTCAGTAGCAGTAACGCCAACCAGTCAGCAGTAACGCCAACCAGTCAGCACTCAGTAGCAGTAACGCCAACCAGTCAGCACTCAGTAGAAGTAACACCAACCAGTCAGCACTCAGTAGCAGTAACGCCAACCAGTCAGCACTGAGTAGCAGTAACGCCAACCAGTCAGCACTCAGTAGAAGTAATGCCAAACAGTCAGCACTCAGTAGAAGTAATGCTAACCAATCAGCACACAGTAGCAGTAATGCTGACCAATCAGCACTCAGTAGCAGTGAAGTTAGTGTCCTAATCATCTTGCTGTAGAAAAAGCTGAAATATACTGGTAAGTTATCTGTGCTTTTACTGGAGTACATCCTTCTGCTTAGCTCCATTCTCTGCCAGCCACCAAGGACTCACTCGTAGGCGCCCTCTAGTGTTTCACAGTCACGTTTTTGGTAAAATGGGAGAAACTGGAAGTGGCCAGGCCGGCCTTAATCTGACTCGGTTTACACTAGAAAACCCTGCAAAGCTGCAATGCGAATAGACATGTTTACAAAAAGACCTGATCTCTATAAGCAAAGTGTTCAGCCTGACAGCCTAGGAGGACTAATAACGGCTAAAACACAGATTTCTTTTCTCCCTCATGGCACACACTCACTCAGACTCCATCTGCCCCAAGATCAGCCCAGTAACATTGTTATATATTATAATAACAACATGTTATTACAACAGCTACAAGGTGCTGCACACTATGACACAGATCAGATGCATTAGCAGAGCAGTATGTTGTACCGTAGTATGATTCTATTGTTTGGTCTGATCCTGTAACAGCTGGAGCGCTGCAGGCGCAGTGACTCCCTCACCTTGTCTGCGTTGTCTGCAGCGAGCAGGTTGGTGGCGAGAGTCTGCAGCTTGTGCTGGGCCATGTTCTTCAGCGCTGCCAGACTGCGGCGGGTCATGGCCTGCTTCAGGTTCACCGCAGGGTGATTCAGAGCGTCCACCGCCGCCGGGACGGCCTCATCACACGCATTCAGAATCTCCACCGCTGTTATACCCATCACACAGCGGTCCAGCGCCCCTGAGAGAGAGAGAGAGAATGAGAACAAAAAGGAAAAAATAAGCAGACCAGAGACAGCAAAGCATAAAGAAAGAGAAAGAGCAAAATGTGAAAGAACAAAACAGGTAGAGAAGAGAAGAGAAATGTACAGAAAAAAAAAGAGAAAAGAAAAATGGACAGAAAAAGAGGAAAAGAACAGAGAAGAGAAAATGTGCAAAAAAAGAGAAAAGAAAAATGGACAGAAAGAGAGGAAAAGAACAGAAGAGAGATGAAGAGAAGAGAAAAAGAACAGAGAAGAGAGGTGAAAAGAAGAGAAGAGAGAAGAGAAAAAGAACAGAGAAGAGAGGTGAAAAGAAGAGAAGAGAGAAGAGAAAAAGAACAGAGAAGAGAAGAGAGGTGAAAAGAAGAGAAGAGAGAAGAGAAAAAGAACAGAGAAGAGAATAAACAAACAACAAAAGTACAGTGATAGGAGAAGAGAAAAGAAGAGAGAAGAGAGGTGAAGAGAAAAGAAGCAAAGAGAAAAATAAAGAGAATAAACTTCAACAAACGTACAGAGAGAAGAGAAGAGAAAATGTACAGAAAAAAGAGAAAAGAAAAATGGACAGAAAGAGAAGAGAAAAGAATGAACAAAAACAAAAGTACAGTGAGAGAAGAGAAGAGAACAGAAGAGAAAAATGTACAAAAGTACAGAGAGATAGAAGAGACCAAAAAAGAAGAGAGGAAAAAAGAAAACCAGGACATGGAGAGAAAAGAGAGACAATGAAATCCTATATGAACTGATGGCTGAATCAATCAATCCTGAAAATAAATAAATAATAATAAAAAATTGCGTCAAAGGTGAAACAAAGGCGAGCGGCGCTGTTTACAGGAGCGCAGTGGTGAAAATAACAGGCCCTCCAACGCTCTGTTTACTCCATCTGATGCTTGTTTCACATCCTCTGTCAGCTGAAAAATTCCACAATGATTTTAAGCATAAAAATCCATAAGCATCAAAACCCATTAAGTTTTATCCAAAGGGGCCCATCCACAGTAATAATATATATCAGTGTATTGATCAGAGGCAGTCCGGACCTTCTGCTCACTACAGACCCACTCTGTTCTATTACAACATCTCTCTCTATAGGACTGGAGGACAGCGGAATAAAAGACAAACGCTCTTTTTAAACCAACTCAAACATACTGAATGAGGCTTTAATACATTCCTGCACTTGATATTTTACCCTAAAATAATCCAACACAGTTAAAATAATCAAAAACTAGTGGGGTCAGTTAGCATGAGGGACTGGAATCGTGTTGGTCCTCCTATTAGTCTCTATTCAATGTTAGCTTGTTGCCATTTTTGGATGGACTGCTCCTTTAAAGAGCCCATATTCTACATATTTCTGCTATTTTATTCTGCTCATAACATTTGTCTGGTTTAAAACAGCCATAATCCAATTTAACATCATTTTCCAACCTCTCTTTAGTCTTAAATAGAGCTCTTTAGTTACCGTGCCTTTAAGACACCACAACCATCAGCCATAATGAACAATCCGTTTTCGATGTTATGGGCCCTTTAACTGTGCTTAATGGGAAATTCCAACATTTCAGATTTTTCAAAATTTTTTGCCTAATTCAATAAGATAGAGTGGTTCAGAGTGGTTTGGTGTAAAACGCTCTGTTCCAGAGAAACTGAGTCAGAACTGTTCACAGTGGTGGTGATAGGAACCAGACGTCCCCCTTTAAAACCTTCCTCACAGGCAGTTATTACATGAAATGGTTATGAATTTCACTGCCTGATGACTGAGACACTGTTATATGATAGTTTTGAGAAGGTTTACAGGGTGAAGAGGTACAATATGGAAAACCGTCCCCAAAGAAAACTAATTTTTTTCAGATTTATCACTATTTTATCATCATCATCAATATTCCATATAAACTCAGAAGACTCGAAGGTTCACTGGTGGTTTTGGATAGTAAATAAAATGGCTATATTTGAGTCATAGACCACGTAAGCCCTGGTTTCCAAAACTGTTATGAACACTTCTGACTCATTATGTCGCTCTGCAGTGGAGAATTTCATAAACAACTCTGAAGCAGAAGAGCAGAGAAGAGAAGAGAAGAGCAGAGAAGAGAAGAGAAGAGCAGAGAAGAGAAGAGCAGAGAAGAGCAGAGAAGTGAAGAGCAGAGAAGAGAAGAGCAGAGAAGGGAAGAGCAGAGAAGGGAAGAGAAGAGAAGAGCAGAGAAGAGCAGAGAAGAGAAAAGAGAAAGTAAAAACAGAAGAGAAGAGAAAGAGAAGAATCTATAGAAAAACAAAAGTACAGTGAGAAAAGAGAAGAGCAAAAGAAGAGAAAAAGAATAAAGAAGAGGAAAAAAATTCACAAACCACTCTGAATGAGTTTGTTTACATCTCAAGAATTGATTTATGCAAAAATTTTGAAATACTGGTGGAATTCCCCTTTGAAGCACTTTACTTAGTGTATGTGCATGAAAGCAGAGAAAGCAGCACCTTCTACTACTGACCATCCATCCATCCATCCATCTCAATTTTGCCTTTAATATGGTATAAGCCATGTGTGTAGGACTCACACACTCTCTCTGTCTCCCTCTCTGTCTCTCTCTCTGTCTCTCTCTCTCTGTCTGTCTCTCTCTCTGTCTCTCTCTCTCTGTCTCTCTCTCTCTGTCTCTCTCTCTCTGTCTCCCTCTCTCTGTCTCCCTCTCTCTGTCTCTCTCTCTCTGTCTCCCTCTCTCTGTCTCTCTCTCTCTGTCTCTCTCTCTCTGTCTCTCTCTCTCTCTGTCTCAGTGAAGAACAGGCCCACGCTGCAGTAGCTGTGGAGATTTTGGACCTGCGCTCAACAGCAGCTGCAGAGTGGCACTTTCCACAATGAGCCGAGAATTAGACGGCCAGAGGAGACCAATTCCAGGGTTTTACCTCCTCCCTCCTTCTCTCCACTCATTTCATCCCACTCCTTCTCTTTGACGCTCCCCACAGTTCTGCTCTGCCATCTTCCTGCTTGCGTTTCTCTCCCTCGCTCTCGTTCACTGAGCTCCAATTCACTCTCTCTGACATTCGAATACATTCAGTTCAGCTCAGTTCAGTATTTCCATCTGCATTTTCAAAGTACTGCAATAAGCAGCATGCGCACAGTCGTGAGCAAAAGTTTGCACACCCCTGTTAAATTCTTGTTTTTGTTGGTTTTCCAACACATCGTCTACAGAGACGCACTTCCGCACATTTTAACACACAATTACTGTTTATTTGCTGAATTTAACAGGTTGGGGTAAAAAAATCTGCTGTGCAAAAGTTAGGGCACATTTTATGGTTTATATTTTATGTTTACGTTTTTAATTTTTTCACATAATTTGAAAATTCCTTCTGTTTACATTGTGTACACTGTCCTTTACAGTGTGTAAATATCATGATGACTGACCCAAAAGAAACAGACCAAAATGACTTGGACAAAATATCTGGTTCCACTGACCTACATTAAAAGTATGTTTGCTCCTTCTCCTGTAAATCCATTTTGGAGATACGAAATTTCCGACAGTAGCGATGTGTTATATATTGTGTTTTACTTTCTACACTGTGTCCTGTGCAAAAGTTGTGGCACATTTTATATATATTTTATATACGTATTACATGTGCAAATCAGGTAAAACATCCTTACTACATAAATATTTTTGCTCTTTTATTTAAAATTGTTTATATTGTTAATTTATAATTGTTTATATTGTTAATTGTATCAGTTTTTATGAATAGAGTTTATGCGAAGGATAGAGTTTGTATTTTTTTCTTACATTTTTTTATCTTGTGTGTGTGTATACATATACACATACATACATACATACATACACACACACACACACATATATAACAATAAAACCTTGTTAATTACTTAACATGGTTAGTTTGTTACTTATTACTGTGTAGACTAATATATATATATATATATATATATATATATATATATATATATATTCATACACACACACACACACACACACACACACACACATATATATATATATATATACATATATATATATATATATATATATATATATATATGCACACACACACATAAATACATACATACACCGTATATATGGTTAATTCTCTTCTTGTTACTACTTGTTACTCGAGTGCCTTGCTGTCCCTTTGCTGCTGTAGCTCTGTGAAATTCCCCGTAGTGGGACTAATAAAGGATTATCTTATCTGATATATTGTGTTATACATTTTACATTGGGGGAGAAAATAAAACGTGACCTGTGCCAAAGTTACGGCATGTTTTATGTTTCATATTTATCTTTTTTTTAATGTGTTAAATTAAGCAAATAAAAAAAAAATATGCACAAAAACGTCATATTTAACTTGCCCACCCAAACGTTTGCGTACGGCCGCTTGTACCAGTAAAATGTCATCAAATGCCGTGTAACGTTTTCTCTGTCCAATTTTACCCTCTCACTCTTTCTACCTCCAACTCTCTCCTGTCCCGTTCTCTCCACCACTGCTCTCGCTTTCCCCTTCATTACTTCCAGGGCTTTTTCCCCTCTCTCCCCATCCCGCCTCCACCCTCCCTTCCACCTGAGCTCTCCTCTCCCAAACTCCCATTCTTTCTCATTTACTCTTTCTTCCTGTCTCCATCTATCCAATTCACTCCTCCCTATCTCGTTCTCTCTCTCCCTTCATTCAACTCACTGATCCTCTTTTCTTTCTCTTCCTGCTTCCCCTCATTATTGAAATTCTACCATCTTCTTGTTTGTTTTCTCTTTTCTTCTCTTCACCGAGCTCCAATTCATCCTCTCTTCCCTGTTTTCTTCTCCTGCTCTTTCGTTTCCGGTCTCCGTCTCTCTAATTAACTCTTTCCTATCTCGTTCCCTCCGTCACTCTTTTTTCCCCCTTTTATTTATTTCATGGAGGGAGTTTTTCCTTCTCTCTCTGTCCTCCCTCCTACCTGTTCTCTCTCTCTTTTATTCTCTTTTCCTTTTTCTTCCTCTCTCTAACTCCTTCCATCCTCAATCTCTCTCTTCCACTTCCCATT